TGAACTACACTCATCAAAACAATTCATACAATTTGTATCAATAATCTATTCTAATATATATTGCAAAGCTTCTATGGATATTAGTATGACACAGGACACCCGTGCCTCCCCCTCCCCAATTTTAATTTCTGTCATAAAAATGTAAACTTCTAAATAGTTTTTATGTGGATGTCAAACAATTATAGTATATAAACTTGAAAATTTTATATCGTCAACAATTTTAGGTTATATTTTAGTGATTAAGATTTAAATTATATATTTTTAACTGTTACTATAACTGTATTGTCCCTGTTATACCCAATTGTAAATTCAAATGTATCCCTATCATGTTTTATGACTTTCCTGATATTGTATGTGAGCTGGAACTGGTCTGTGACTGAAATAATTAAATTATTATTATTATCATTATCATTATTATATCTTCAAGGCTAAGGATTTTCAGCAGGGACGCGGGTGGAGCTGTAGGTAAAAGCCTCAGCGCCTAGGGCTTGCCGATCGAAAGGTCGGCAGTTCAAATCCCCGCGGCGGGGTGCGCTCCCGTTGCTCGGTCCCAGCGCCTGCCAACCTAGCAGTTCAAAAGCACCCCCGGGTGCAAGTAGATAAATAGGGACCGCTTACTAGTGGGAAGGTAAACGGCGTTTCCGTGTGCTGCTCTGGCTCGCCAGAGCACCGGTGTCACGCTGGCCATGTGACCCGGAAGTGTCTCCGGACAGTGCTGGCTCCCAGCCTCTAGAGTGAGATGGGCGCACAACCCTAGAGTCTGTCAAGACTGGCCCGTACGGGCAGGGGTACCTTTACCTTTACCTTTACCTTTACCTTTAAGGATTTTCAGCTCAACAATCTGAGTGGATTATGAACTGGTTTCTCAGACAAATGTTACTGCATCACTGACAGAACAGCCATGGAGAGATTGGAATTTTTCACATTTCACAAAGTTCTATAGTGCCCATTAAATTTTGCAAATTTTCCGTGGGTGCCCAAATATAGAAAGTAGTATCACCTTTATTTTCTTTCTTTAAATATTTATAAACTGCACTTTCATTTTTTTAAAAAAACCACAATGAAGGAGTTCATGTTACCATTGTATATGTGTGTGTGTGTGTATAGTTATGATCCATAAGTTTTATTTCATAATATATAAACCGTATACTTAAAGAAAAAAGATTATCACTCTCCAAAAATATATATTCTCTGCAATCCATTTCTACTAAATGACCAATGTGTCAGCAATTATAGCAAGAAGGTTTTCTTGATGGAAAATTCTGCACATGACTAATATGATTTAAGGAATTTTAAGGACATTGCTGCATTTTTCAGTTTCTCAAGTGGTTATGTTCGAAGTCCAATAACTTTAAGAGCACCGAGAATTTAAAATTTTCATCTTTAAAGAAGTTAATTGTTTCCCTAGATTTAAGTAAAGACTCTGCTTTATAGCCCTACGTCAACCATAAATATTCATTAAATCTGCTTGCTAACTCCATAAACTAAGCCCAGATGTTTTGGCTGGAAACACATTTATTTATTTATTTATTTTTAAAATACATATAGCTTGCTGTAGAGAAAGATCTTCTTTCTCCGTTATCCCAATACATTTGAAATACTTAGAAGAAACATCTCTTAAAATGTGAACTACCTGATGGTGGATTCCAAACTCTAGGTGTGTATATATCACACACACCTTTATTCAGAAATAACAAATTCTACAAAATTGCCATCACTGCCAACAAACATTTTATGAAGAATGACATCTGAGCCGAAGTTCATTGCCAAAACAGTAATTCAATTCAAATTTAAATGGACTTCTTTCAGAGTTGAATATTGCAAACATTAATTCAGACTACAGTTTAGGATGCATTTCACAAGTCTAGCTAACAGCAGCCAAATATTTAGCAGAGTATTTCAAATCAGTATATGAACTTCTCCTCTGCAGCTAAGTCTTATGGACCTGCCTTCATTGTGCATTCCCTCTCCTTCCCAGATTCCCTTCCCCAAGTATTCTGTTATTCTCTTCTTCCCTACAGCCCGATCTTCCAATACTCCTTTCCTGGGCCCTTGCTTTCCTAAATGTCCACTTCTTTTTCGCTCCTTCACTTCCCCTGCCAGTCCCTTATTTAGGATCTGAGCAACTGAGCCAATGGCAACCAGAGACACTTGGAGCAGGAGTGGCTGGGGCTGATGGAGTCCTAGAGTATCTGGTGAACCACAGATTCCCAACCCCTGCACTATGGCAAATCTGGTATAGCTCTTCAAAAATTCCACACAGTTCTTTCCTGGCCCTACCTGGAGATGCCAGAGGTTGAGCATGTGACTCTCTGCATACAGTGGTACCTCGGGTTACAGACACTTCAGGTTAAAGACGCTTCAGGTTACAGACTCCGCTAACCCAGAAATAGTACCTCGAGTTAAGAACTTTGCTTCAGGATGAGAACAGAAATCGTGCTCCGGTGGTGCAGCAGCAGCAGGAGGCCCCATTGGCTAAAGTGGTACCTCATGTTAAGAACAGTTTCAGGTTAAGAATGGACCTCCAGAACGAATTAAGTTCTTAACCCAAGGTACCAGTGTACTAAGCATCTGATCCACTTTTAATCTTACAGCTCTCACAGCAAAATTCCTAAGCCTTTTATAGTACAGCGATGGAAAGCAACCATTCAAGTCACTCTTGTGTCTGACACAATGCTTGAGGGAACAAGGTATGTCACCACTATCTGATTTTTAGGCACCAGGCAAAAACTTTAATCTTCCACTCTGTGACATTAGACTGTTTTGCCTCTTATCATTTGACAAATGTTCTGTGACATTGGGGAGATGGTAATTCTGTATTGATTTACTATGGATGTTTGTATGTGATGCCAATAAAAGGTTTGATGATGATGATGAATCTTCCGCTCATTTTGGGGGGTGGGGGGTGAGTTGCATCTGCTTTTTTACACATGTTATCAGTGAACATTTTAGGTTGCTTTTACTCTTGTGCCACTCTGTTCTGTCTTAGTCAGACCACACTTGGAATACTGTGTCCAATTCTGGCTACCACAATTTAAGAAGCATGTTGACAAGCTGAAAGGTGTGCAGAGGAGGACAACCAAAATGATCAAGGATCTGGAAACTAAGCCTTACAAGGAGCGCTTGAAGGAGTTGGGTATGTTTAGAGGAGACTGAGAGGAGATACGATAGCCATCCTCAAATATCTTAAGGGATGTCACATGGAGGAGGGAGCATGCTTGTTTTCTCATGTCCCGGAGGGTAGGACTCAAACCAATGGCTTCAAGTTGCAAGAAAGAAGATTCCAACTAAACATTCGGGAAAAACTTTCTGACAGTAGGAGCTGTTCTGCAGTGGAACAGACTCCCACAAGAGGTGGTGGACTCTCCTTTCTTGGAGGTTTTTAAACAGAGATTGGATGACCCTCTGTCATGAGATTCCTGCATTGCAAGGGGTTAGACTAGATGACCCTTGAGATCCCTTCCATCTCTAAGATTCTATGATTCTGTGAAAGAAATATATAATAAAAATAATACAGGATTTCAAGAACATCTCAAATGCAGTATCTGTGACTGTTCCAAGAGCTATGTGTGCTTCCTTCCCATACATAGGGGGAAATGATTTTAAACTTGGCTAAAGAGGTTAGTGCATGGAATGAACTAGTTCACTGAACTAGCTGAAAAGTCTCTGAACTACACGTGAAAGTAGTTCCCATAATTGCTGGGTGAATTAGTGGTCACTTAAGTTATTTTCAGGATAGAACTTCAATTCATCTCCTTTTCATTCCCTACCTGCACTGCAGAAGGCCTAGACTCTTAGTTTTCTTTCAAAAAGAAGCCAATTGGAGTTGGAAAGCAAAGCGTGGAGGCAGCTTTTTATGACTTATTAGGCAGATACAGAGTCACTGTTGTTTCTAAGGTCATTTAGTCACTTAATCATGGCTGCTAAGTAATAAGAAATAGGGGGTGTGAGGCATTTCTTGTATCTTCCCTGTTGGAGAGTACAGTCGTACCTCGGAAGTTGAACGAAATCTGTTCCAGAAGTCTGTTCGACTTCCAAAACATTCAGAAACCAAAGCGTGGATTCTAATTGGCTGCAGGAAGCTCCAGCAGCCATTCAGAAGCCGGAGAAGCCCTGTCAGACATTCGGATTCCAAAAGAACATTTGCAAACCGGAGCACTCACTTCCAGGGTTGAAGCATTCAGGAGCCAAAATGTCCAAGGACCAAGGTGCTCGGGATCCAAGGTACGACTGCAGCTCTGTTTTCCAATAGCAGTACCTGTTGAGTACTTGTGTGGCTGCCATAAACAGGGCAAGTCTACTTTTGGACCATTCAGCACAGTAGCTTGTAAACATTCTGAATGTTGAATTTGCGGGGGGGGGGGGGAGGGACAACACTGATAAACATTTTATAAGCTAAAATGTTCATTGCATGTAGAGCTATAGCTCACTTGGTAAAGCATGAGACTCTTAATTTCTGAGTCATGGGTTTGAGCCCCATGTTAGGTAAAAAGATTCCTGCATTGCAAGGGGTTGGACTAGATGATCCTCATGGTCCATTCTAACTCTACCATTCTCTGATCCTATTAACTTGAACTGAACTAGTTCCTTTTTGTATAGCTGGAACCTGAACTAGGTCCCTTTTTAAATTAGCTTTCTGAACACCTGAAGGGGTACATGGGCAAAAGAAAATCACTCTGCTAGACAGACACCATTTTAGATGATACCAACGATGAGGCAATAGCAACATTTTTGTATGTGAAATGGCCATCATATTGTGGTGTTGGGTTAATGATCAATATCTGAATAGTAAACATCAACTTTCTGGCAGCTTATGGTTGGCATCACAATACAGATGCACATATACATCCGGACTGCATTTTCAGTTTCCAGCCCAGCAAAGGAATATGCATGAAAAACCTGCTTGTGACTACATCTCTGTTTTGCTGGGCTAGGTAACAGTGCAGAACTCAAATGCAACATAGCTTTTAAAGAATACCACACACAAGGAAGCTTCTTACTTTGGTTGTGCCAAGCAGCCTGGTGCTACAATACTGCAGCTTGCATCATCACTCTGCAGGTTTGTGAGTTCTACCATGTTGATCATCACGTCATTTGTATGACCTGGAAGTTTGGGAAGAGAAGAGAGTATCTTCTCCGCTAGGTTGTCACCATGATGACCAACTGCTCCTGAAAAAGAATAATCCATTGACTTAGCAAAAGGTCTATTACATGAGCATTCAGAACAAAACAAAATCATATGACTGTGTACACAAGAAGAACAGCTGAACAATGTCAATAGTAAAATGGCAAAGAAAGTGAATTTTAGAAGTTGACCATTTGGAAGACAGCTATGAAAACAAACAAAGATCACCATGATTGTATAAAATGAATTCACACTCTATTCACATAGTGGAAAAACAATAAACTAGATCCCAGTGTCTAGATCTCTTATATACAACCATGATTTGACAGTAATTGGAAAGGTGGTTAAATACTGGCAGATGTGCACATATCGCAGAAGTATGTTTACACTTTAACTGGCATCTCATAGGTTTATTAACTTGGGATGGATTTGAAATGATCTACGGTCTCCAAGACTGCCTTGGCAAGCCACTTGGATTCTTCCATAATGTTATCACTACTGCCTCTTTCAAGGAAGATGGGCATTATGCCCTCTCTTAAAGTGACACCAACCATCTTCAGGGATCCTACTGAAAGCTCATCCCTGGAAGATTTCACTAGCCAGGAAGAGCAGGAACCCAAAGAACAAGATGTTTCAACCCTTGTTATCACTTGCCAGCCTGCTCAAGTTACGCAAGCTGAAAAGTATCCATAACAGCATAACCAGACAGTGTTTAGGAGCACCTGTCTCCAACTCTTTAAAGAATCACAATATCCAAATTAGAGTAAATACAAACTATTATATCAACAATGCCTTGGTCAAGCTTGACTCAATGAGCTTATAATCAGGCATGGCCAAACTTGGCCCTCCAGCTGTTTTGGGACTACAACTCCCATCATCCCTAGCTAACAGAACCAGTGGTCAGGGATGATGGGAATTGTAGTCCCAAAACAGCTGGAGGGACAAGTTTGGCCATGCCTGGCTTATATAGTAGCCCAAAACTTGATCAGGTAAGGAGCTATCCCTGACAATGAAGTCATTGCTAGTTCCCTCACCCACATATAACCTTCCCTTACACAAAACCAGATTTAAAGTGTTTCCTAACATATGTGTTTGGTGATTTCATTTGAGGCAGGTGCAGCTCCAGCCAAAGTGGCTCTGGTGTTTATGCTGAAATCTAGGAGCCTTAGAACACTCATTTAAGACTGCCTCAACCAACTCAGGCATGTTAGTGTTTCCGTTCAGAAGTTCCTACAGTAGCGTACAAAGGTTAGTATTCTTGTAACTAAGGGAAATAGCTTCAAGAATAATAATAATAATTTATTATTTATACCCCGCCCATCTGGCTGGGTTTCCCCAGCCACTCTGGGCGGCTTCCAAAAGAATATTAAAATACTGTGATACATCAAACATTAAAAGCTTCCCTAAACAGGGCTGCCTTCAGATGTCTTCTAAAAGTCTGGTAGTTGTTGTTCTCTTTGACATCTGGTGGGAGGGCGTTCCACAGGGAGGGCGCCACTACCGAGAAGGCCCTCTGCCTGGTTCCCTGTAACTTGGCTTCTCGCAGTGAGGGAACCGCCAGAAGGCCCTCGGTGCTGGACCTCAGTGTCCGGGTAGAACGATGGAGGTGGAGACGCTCCTTCAGGTATACTGGACCGAGGCCGTTTAGGGCTTTAAAGGTCAGCACCAACACTTTGAATTGTGCTCGGAAACGTACTGGGAGCCAATGTAGGTCTTTCAAGACCGGTGTTATATGGTCTCGGCGGCCGTTCCCAGTCACCAGTCTGGCTGCTGCATTCTGGATTAGTTGTAGTTTCCGGGTCACCTTCAAAGGTAGCCCCACGTAGAGCGCATTGCAGTAGTCCAAGCGGGAGATAACCAGAGCATGCACCACTCTGGCGAGGCAGTCCGCGGGCAGATAGGGTCTCAGCCTACGTACCAGATGGAGCTGGTACACAGCTGCCCTGGACACGGATTTAACCTGTGCCTCCATGGACAGCTGTGAGTCCAAAATGACTCCCAGGCTGCGCACCTGGTCCTTCAGGGGCACAGTTACCCCATTCAGGACCAGGGAATCCTCCACACCTGCCCGCCTCCTGTCCCCCAGAAACAGTACTTCTGTCTTGTCAGGATTCAATCTCAATCTGTTTGCCGCCATCCATCCTCCAACCGCCTCCAGACACTCACACAGGACCGTCACCGCCTTCACTGGTTCTGATTTGAAAGAAAGGTAGAGCTGGGTATCATCTGCATACTGATGAACACCCAGCCCAAACCCCCTGATGATCTCTCCCAGCGGCTGCATGTAGATGTTGAAAAGCATAGGGGAGAGGACAGAACCCTGAGGCACCCCACAAGTGAGAGCCCAGGGGTCTGAACACTCATCCCCCACCACCACTTTCTGAACACGGCCCAGGAGGAAGGAGCGGAACCACTGTATGACAGTACCCAGAAGAAACAAACTGTTAATCCCTCAAACATCTTACCTGTCAAATCTAATGTCCTGTCCACAAAGATGACAGAAGCTCTGTGTTGTGCAGTTTTCCTTCTGGTCTTAGCCTGGGCATAATTTGCCAGATCCCCTGCAATTATCTTACTTATTGTCCCAACAGCAAAACATTCCTCCCGCACACTGAGGTACTCAAACAAGCTGTTGAAATCAGAAACCAAGGACCTGATCTGAAGCTGCAACTCTGAAGACAGAAATGAAAAATCAACATCACTCAAGTGGGAAATTTTCTTCTTCTCCGGTCTAGCTTTATTGATCTGAGTCAAATCCTCAGCCAACAAGGGGAAAAACAAGGAGAAGGCAGGTGCTACAAAGAGATGAGGCGAGATGGGTGCCAAGAACAAAGGGGCATGTTGAACCTCTGCAGTGTAGTTCATGTTTCCCATCCACTGGCAGAGCTTCTCTTCAAACTGTTCAAAGACCACCCGGCCGACACCTTCAACCTCAGTAGTGCCGGGAGCGTTGTGGGCCTGCAAGTGCACCGCATGGCTGACAGCTGTGAAAACCACGCAGTACTGGAAGTTGCTGAGAGTGACAATGTCCCGGATGATGTCCACCGTCCTGCCTTTCAGCAAGCTGCCCACCACAAAGACAGCTTTGGGCTGGTCCGCACCTCCAGATTCAAAGCTGGAAAACTCCTTGACGTTGATCGCCCCGGCCTGCAGCAACCTCCCGGCTCCTCCGCACGCCCAGTGAAGGCTTTCGGCACAAGCAGGGTCCATGAACACAACAGCCCGCTTCGCCTTGGCAAACACCTGCCCCCAGGCTTGCTGGCAGAATTGCGACATCCCAGCAGGGGCTGTGGGAGAGGAGGAGGTAGTGGAAGAGGAAGACATCGTGGGAGAGGCTTGCTGGAGTCCCCCTGGCACTTCTCAGTGGGTACCACTCCAGACGACGGGCTGCAAGGGGTGTCAGTGAGGCAAAAGTGAAAAGAAGCCCTTTGCTATGTGTTGAAGCGGGAAGCGCACCTCCGAGGCCCGTCAGGCGGCGCGGGATACTTAAATCAGGCACATCCTAAGCCACTCCGGCACTTCACAAGCGGGTAGCGGAGTTGACAGCACCGCCGGCCTCCACAATCCGCACACGCCTATCTTTGAAGCGGTCGCGCGGATTTAACGTCATATTCCAGCTCTCGACTCCAATTGGCCGGTCGGGAAGACGAGGAGGCGGGGCGCTGTTTCGGGCGTTTGTAAGAACGAAGCTCTTTGGCCGGCAAATGCCCCTCTCACCTGAGGGCGGAAGTTCGCCTACCAACCCGGAAGAGCCGCGGAGGCTGAATGGAGCCTGGGCAACGTGTAGCGGGGCGGGACCTTTGAGAGTTGTGTCGGGCGTTTCTCCTACTGTTTTCGGTTCTGAACTGTTCTGTCACGTTCGCCTTATTATTTTTTTAATGACGGTTTTGAAAGACAAAATAGTATTCGGTGGTGTTTTCATGTCCTAGTGATAGCAATTGTAGTAGTAATAGCAACAGCACACCCAGGACTAGCTACAGGTCTCGTCGGCTCGGCTCGCATAATTGTCTCATCAGATTTAATATCTGTTAAACAATGTATTGTTGAATGTCATAAAAGCTGGAAGCCTGAATTCTGTAGAGACTTGTCATAGTTGCACTGATTAAATGTGCGTGTGGGGGAGGGAGGGTGAAGGTTTAACAGGGAAATAATCTGAGAGTTTGAGTTTTAGAGGGGAAAGGGTTGAAACTAGTTATTTATAATTAATGGTTAAGGTTGCAGTCCTAGCTGTACCTAACTTCGTGTAAGCACCATTGAGTTTGGTGGGGCTTTGTTCTGAGTGAACAGGTTTAGGTTTGTAGCCTCATTAATTTAAAACATTTAATACCCATTCTTCATTGCAAATGCAGTTCTAGAACTGGTTACAATTAAAACTAATCCACCTGCTTGGTAACATTGACTTAATAAGCATGTCAGATAAATTGCAACCAGCCAGCAATAATCATAGATCATGATCCTTTTTGTAATCCATGGAATAAGAGGAGAGTGCTGTTGTACTCAGGTCCTGTTCACTAGCATTTTATACATGAGACCTTTGTTTTAATCCAGCAGTACCGTCAGGTAGAAGTCCTTGAACATATTAAAATAAGCATGTATACCTACACAACACTGGGAGTGTTATGAACAACTAACTTCAGCAAAAAAAAAGTATGCAATTCTTAAACCTCTACAAAAGTTCACACAATCCAGACTACAAACTACAAAGCACTACAGGAAGACAGCAGGAACAACAAAATACTGAGATGTATTTCTGGATTTGTTTTTCAAGATGACTTGAGTAAATGGACAAAGTTACAAAGAAGCTATCACTAGCTAATATGTTCTGGGGGGAAACCTGTTTTCAAAAGTCATTAATGCAAGTCCCTCTCATAGGTATGATTTAATCTGAATCAATATTCATTCACCAGGCCAAACCATTTTAATGCCAGGGTTGAGCCATGGAACAACATGTGAAGTGGTAGCAAATAGAGTATATGCAAATTGTTTTCCCCCTCCCCACTGAGTGTCTTAAATAAATTTATCAACCTGGATGCCTCCCAAAACAAATGGTCTGATATAAAGGCAGGCCTGAAAGCTAGCACCTCTTATTTTAGAAATACGGTAAATTGCTAATGCTGATTAAAGGAGCTGACTTCTCTTCACTAGGCCAACTCTACCACAAGCTGAAGACACTGAGGAAAAAGAGCAAAGGGACTTTCAGAATGGAAGGTTGGTAAAGGTTATGTTTAAAGGCACGGGGACTATAGACTCAAATTAAGGTGTTTAGATGGGTGGAAAAGGGAAGTTCCCAGTGGCTTGAGTTGTACAGTCTCAGAGAGCACTTAGCGGGCATAAAATGGCATTATAAGACCCTAGAAATAGGAAATGCCATTCTAACCAGGCAGTGAGTGGGAAACCTGACTGGTACATCAAAAAAACCCTACCTTGCTTAAGAATGAAAAGTGCTTTGCAGTAACAGCCGCCCAGCCCAATCATATGCCTCAAATCACAACCCCTTTTTCCAAGAAGAGAACTAATTAAAACTGGATAAAAAATAAAATCTTTAAGCATCTGGTTTATTTTAAGTCCCTTCCACGGGGGCACCTTGCAAGTAGATACACACACCTTTGAGAAACAGGGGAGCCGTTTGAGTGGATTGAGAATGCATCTCACGTGCGTTTGTGTGTGCTGAGACGAGTGCATTAAATCCTCTGGGCTGCCCGCATCTGACTACAGCACTGACTTTGTAACTACTTTGTAATTGTGGTTTCAACACTGCTGCGTGTCACACCCACCCTCAATGGAGCGGATAAAGTGCTCGCGTGCAGGTGTTGCTGCTCAGGGACAACCCCACATCCTTTGGGGGGGGGGAATCTCCTCAGTTTCTTTTGTCCTGGGCAAGTAAGCCCCGCTGAGCTCAGCAGGGCTTACTTCAGAGTAAGCACGCTTAGGGCTTCCAGAGAAAGGCTTTCAGGAGCAAAGCGGCGCCCACCGACGGGGCCCAGGCCTGCCCCTTCCCGAGCGTGTCAAGTCGCGCAGCGGCGGCGGAGGGGAAGTGCAGGCCGAGACGCCGTCGCGCTTTCCGCCGCCGCTCGGCTTCTCCGGAGGCGGGGGAGAGAGAGGGAGGCAGTGGCAGCCATTGTTGTTGTCCTTCCTATTGCCGCCGTCAAGAATCAAAAGCGGTCGAGGTTGGAGGGGGCGGGGGCGCACTGCGGGACTCGCCTCAGCGAAGCGCCACCAGGCCTTCCTCGTGCAGAATCAGCAGCAGCCATGTCGGCCGGCGGCGAAGTGGAGAGGCTGGCGGCGGACCTGAGCGGGGCCGGCGCCGGGGATGAGGAGGAGGAGTGGCTCTATGGCGGTACGAAGCTTCTCTCAAACCCCACCACCACCACCTCTTTCCTTTCTTCAAGCTGCTCTCCACCTCCCCACGCCGCCCTTATGCTGCTTGCCGGGCCGCCCCTCCTCGGGTTTCGGCCGGCGGGAAACGCTAGGCCCTGCCCGTTGCCAGGCCGCGGCCGGGGCCTGCTCTTTCCGCGGCCGGCTTTTCGGGCTCCCAAAGGACGGGAGGCCTCTGGGGAGGAGGCGGGTTGCCCTTTGCAGCGCGGCGCCTTCCCCTGGCCGCCTTTATGCCGTTTGCCCGCCTCCTTAAGGGAGGCTCGGTAGGCCCCGCTGTGGATTTGGAGCCCCATGGGTTGGAAAGCGAATAGGCACACCGGGCCCCATCGTACATTCACCGGGGAAGAGTTAAGCCCCGCTGAACATGCGCATGCATATGGGGTTTTTTTAAGCAGCCGAGAGGGGCTCCCTGGATGTAGTTGGGGTGCCTTGTGAATCGATTTGGGTCTTTGTGAAAAAGGAAATAAGTCACGGTCTGATTCGAAGCCTCGTGCTTTGGTGGGAGACTCCTCCCTGACTCTGCATAGCCCTGGGTTTTGTGTTTTTAATACTCCGCCCACCAGCTTTTTAATACGTTTTAACTCGACCACCACCATCTCGAGGCACTTCCTTTCTCTCAGGAGTTGGCCGAGGTCTTTGGACCAGTAGCGATTTTTGAACGTTTTGTTGTTATTAGTGGTAAGGTAAATCAGAAATACTGGGGGAGTTGGAAGGCTGCCAGCAGCAATGCACCAACCTGTTTTGGTCCTTTGCCACCCTGCCTTCCTGCCTCAGAGACATGGGGAACCCCAAGGTGTTCAGAAACACACTTTTATTGAGATTGTTCCTAAACAGTACAAAGATCATAAGGGGAAAGTAGAGAGTTAAGGCACAAACGGTATGTCATTATGATGCTGATGATGATTCATTAAATTTGTATACCACTCTTATTCCATAGATCTAGGCAGAAATATACAAGGTAAAAACACAAGTTCCATAATAAAACAAGAACACCACTCCCTCTATATTGCTGCTTTACTGGAGGTGTGTGTCCCTATGTGTTTAAGCTTGCATGGAAAAGGCAGGAAGCAGGTTGCAGCTCACAAAGAAAAAGTACAAAGAAAACACAGCTCACATCTGTTGGTGCTTTGAACCCATTATGAATTCATGTGTAGAAGGACTAGTAAAAAGGGAGACAATCCTGACTGCAGATAACACATGGTTTGAGAAATGCAGCTGGAATATTTAGAAATGGAATCTCTGCATTTTGTATAAAATGAAAACTGGAAATTTGTGAGGGATTCTTGTTTTTACTATTGCAGTCAGAGATAATTTTGAGGTATTTTTTCTTCTTGTTGCTTTTTGTAGATGAAAATGAAGATGAGAAACCCGAGGAAACACCTGGCAAGTAGGTATTCTTTTATTTGTGTATATCGTTGTAGCATTGAGTGTGAAATGTGTTGAAAATACATGAATTTATTATTATTTGTTGAAGAGCTACTATACGATACAATACGCCACACTGGTGGCGCTGTGGTCTAAACCACTGAGCCTCTTGGGCTTGCCAGTTGGAAGGTCAGTGGTTCGAATCCCTGCAATGGGGTGAGCTCCCATTGCTCTGTCCCAGCTCCTGCCAACCTAGCAGATCAAAAGCTCCCCAGGGCAAGTAGATAAATAGGTACCGTACCACTGTGGTGGGAAGGTAAATGGTGCTTCCGTGTGCTCTGGATTACGGTGTTCCGTTGCACCAGAAGCGGGTTAGTCATGCTGGCCACATGACCCGGAAAGCTGTCTGTGAGATGAGTGCTGCAACCCCATAGTCGCCTTTGACTGGACTTAACCGTCCAGGGGTCCTTTACCTTTTTTCTCAGCCTAACCCATCTCGCAGGGCTGTGAGAATATTATGCAGAAGGAGGAGGACCATGTACACTATCCTTGAGGAAGGATGGGATATTAATGCAGTATTAAATAAACATACAGTTTTTTATGGAACGCTATTTCATCCATCCATGATATAACAACAAGTACATAACCCATTTTAAGTGGAACTCGTTTTCTTATACATCTTAACATCTCATAACTTGGTTAATGTTTTTTATTATGATTATTTTTAAGTGCTCAACCTCCGACTGGAAATGAAGAAGAAGCCGCTGCTGAAAATGGTGTCGTGAAAACGGTGATTGAAACCAGTTATTTGATGTACTTGGATTCTGAACAAACTGCTTGTGGTGACTAATGAACTCAAGTCAATGTGTTTTTTTGCAAGATGTTATTATCACAACATTCAGTTAAGTCAGCCCAGGTGCTAAATGATTTGAAAAATCCAAAGCTTGATAGTGCAGCTTCTGGAATTAGGCTCATCTTTGAAAGCCCATCCAATAAATCAGCTTCACTGTCCTCTTGCCTTTCCCCCCCCTTCTCCACAATGGTGTTGAACATCAGTCAAAAACTGGTACAATGTTATGAATAGATTTAACATGATTGCAAAAACAATTTAGTTCAGTAGGAGTTTGTTTCACCGAGTCATGTGATTGCATTTAACTAATGCTGAAATACTTGCCTTGTTACTGAAAAACAACAAAACAAACTACCTGATACAGATCGTCTTCATACTACATGCACATAACACAACCCCAATGGCTGTTTGTTGTGAAGAATGGTAGTTTTAGGAGAGACCAGCTGGGTAGATAATTAGTATTTTATCCCTTGTCCCAATACCTGCTTTTTTCCGTTGCATTGAAGTTTGGAGCAGTATCAGTGAATAATTTGTCCAACTTTGTGGAGGAGTGGCTGCTTAGCTTTCTAATGCATTTGATAGCATTTTTGGTTGATGCCCGCCAGTATTTTCAATGGATACTATGGACGTACGCACAAGTATTTCAGACTTCGTGTGCCTTCCCGCTGCCCCCGCCAGCTTTGAGGCTGACGCTGCTTTCCCCCACCGCCAGCCTCAAAGAGCAGACTTTCCTGGCTTCAGCGAAAGCAATGCGAAGCCTCCGGAGCGCAGGCTTCGGAGGCTTCGCGTTGCTATCGCTGAAGCCAAGGAGCCTGCATTCGCCCCATAGGATGCACACACATTTCCCCTTCATTTTTGGAGCGGAAAAAGTGCATTCTATAGGGCAAAAAATACGGTAAGTCAGTGGCAGAGCCCGTATTGACTTCAGTGGTGCACCATAGTAGTACATATAAAAAGGTTCTGTGGTTGTGAAATGAGCCAGATTTCCTCTTTTTCTCTTGAGATGTCAGTGTTTATCCTCAACGCTCAGTTTTCTGCTTAGTTTTTT